GTCCCCGTCCTGAATTTGTTACGTTCTCCATGAAACGACCGGCAGGCGCCAGAGCCGAGCGGCTGTGCTATGGGATGGGGCCGGGGATGGTCCACAGCCGCCGCTGCGGGAGCCGGTCGTGAGCCCGAGCCGGGACGCACCCTGGGGTCGGCCTCGTCGCTGGACGCGGGGCCAGGACGAGCAAACCCCACTGGGCGCTGGGCCAGCCCAGCATGTGGGGCAGGGAGAGGGTACCCACTGCGTGGACCTGGCCCCTATGGCTCCTATGGCCCAGGCTGGTCTCTGTGGCTCCCCAGAGCCTGGACCGGTCCCTATAGTCTGGTACTGGCCCCTATGGCTCAGACTGGTCCCTATGGCTTGGACTGGTCCCTATGTTCTGAACTGGTCCCTATGGCTCAGACTGGTCCCTGTGGTCTGGTCCTGGCCCTGATGGCTCAGACTGGTCCCTATGGTCTGAACTGGTCCCTATGGCTCAGTCTGGTCCCTATGACTCAGACTGGTCCCTATGGTCTGGACTGGTCCCAGTAGTCCAGACTGGTCCCTATGACCTAGATTAGTCCTGATGGCCCAGACTGGCCCTAATGGCCAGAGCAGCTGCTATGGCTGGGACAAGCCCCTATAGCCTGGACTGATCCCTAGGGCCTGTCCTGGTCCTTATGGCCCAGACTGATTCCTATGACCTGGACTGGCCCTTAAAGGCCCAGACCGGTCTCTATAGCTGAGATTGGCCCCTATAGTCTATGGCATGTATTGGCCTCGCGCCAGGCTCTATGGGCTCGTGTGTGCCCATGATGGGCCCTACAGGCTCGTACAGTCCTGTGCCAGGCTCTACAGGCTCATATGTGCCCATGACAGGCTCCACAAGCTCGTATTGGCTCGCGCCAGGCTCCACAGGATGGTACAGCCCCGCGCCGGGCTCTACGGCTGTGTATGGGCTCGGGCCGCCCTCTACAGGCGCGTATGGGCCGGCCACGGGCTCTCCAGAGTCCGGGGGGCTGTCACCAGGCTTTTTTTGGGCGCGTGCTTGTCTCTATGGACCCATACGTGCCCCTGCTTGGCCCTATGGGTGTACACGTGCCCTTGCCTGACCCTATGGGCTCATACGCGCCTGTGCTGGTCCCTATGGGCGTGCACATGCCCTTGCCTGACTCTACGGGCTCCTACACGCCTGTGCTGGTCTCTATGGGTGTGTACATGCCCTTGCCTGACCCTATGGGCTCCTACATGCCTGTGCTGGTTTCTATGGGTGTGTACATGCCCTTGCCTGACCCTATGGGCTCATACGCGCCTGTGCTGGTCCCTATGGGTGTGGACGCACCCCTGTCTAGTCCTATGGGCTCGTATGGGCCCTGTCGGTCCCTATGGGTGTGCACATGCTCTTGCCTGACCCTATGGGCTCGTACACACCCCTGTCTGGTCCTATGGGCTCGTACGGGCCCCTGCCAGTCTTTAAGGGTGTGCACGTGCCCTTGCCTGACCCTATGGGCTCCTACATGCCTGTGCTGGTTTCTATGGGTGTGTACATGCCCTTGCCTGACCCTATGGGCTCCTACATGCCTGTGCTGGTTTCTATGGGTGTGTACATGCCCTTGCCTGACCCTATGGGCTCATACGCGCCTGTGCTGGTCCCTATGGGTGTGGACGCACCC